GCATATATAAGTTTATTTATTTATAATAGTATTTTATATATACATAGATTTTTTTTTTCTAAAGAGATTGATTTATTTAATATATAAGTTTGTTTATGTATTTTTATTTTAATAGTTGAGATGGACAGCGCAAGCGCAGTGTATAGTTCGCAAACTCGACGAGAAGGGCGTCGAGCTGTGTGTAGTTGGAGAAGTCAACGGCCGTGAGAAAGGACGCAGGCGCAGTGTGGGGATGTAAGGCAACGCATGCGCAGAAAGTCCTTATGTGTAGCTGACCTACTGGCAGTACCCGGATGCGACGTCAGAGGTTCGCAAGGTCGATGAGTTCTCATCGTCGACAGAACACCGGTGACTGTCCAGAGGACCTGAGAGCATTCACAGGCCAGCTAAATTAGGACCCCACCTGGAGCACCTCCCACAGGGCCAGCGCCGACTCGCCGCTGCTCTCCCGCACAGCGCAACCTCACCAGCGAGGCAACTAACAGTGAGTGAGGGCCTGGGGTCCCTCATAAGAACGATTTATTGTATTAGCAGGGGAAAATAGTAAATTATTGTCTGCAGTGTGTAGTCTATATGTACTGCATACAGAGTACACACTGCAGCAATAGATTTACTATTATCCCCTGCTAATATGAATGGATTAAATGTTCAATATTACACAATAGTACATAACATGTAATTGTAATACTACGGATCATTTAACCCATTCATGTTAGTCGAGGAAAATTGTAAATCTATTGCTGCAGTGTGTACTGTATATGTAGTACATGTATACAGCACACACCTCCACTACACAGCAATAGATTTACAATTCTCCCCTGCTAACATGAATAGGTTAAATCATGATCCATAGTACATAACATGTAGTTGTATTATGGATCATTTAACCCATTCATGTTAGCAGGGCAGAATTGTAACTCTTATTACTGCAGTGTACTGGAAGTGTGTACCAGGTTAAATGATCTATAGTACACACTTCCAGTACACTGCAGTAATAGAGTGCTAACGCCTGCTAACATGAATAGGTTAAATGATCCTAGAGGCACATGCATGATCGGATTTGTAGTTTCACGACAGCTGTGTGAAAGCAAATACAAATGTTTTATTGTTCTAAAACAGTCTTAAATTAAAGTTCTTCATAATCATAAGGAAATTGGCCTAAAATCATTAGTCTGCATTGGTTTAAAAAAAAAGTCACCTGTCCCTTTAAGAAAAAGTATCGGTAATTGGTATCGGCAAGTACATGAGGGGAGGTACTTGGTCTTGAAAAAGTGGTATCGGGACATCCCTAGGGGCTACCATTGCTGACTTTCTGGAAATGCTAGATTCCCAGCTGTCTGATTTTAATACTTTGAATCACTCTGATGCGTTTTACCCAATCACGGGCTTAGTCGTAGAGTAATTTTGATCTCTATGACTAAGCCCATGATTGGGTGAAATGCCTCAGAGGGGAGTGGACCTTGGGCGGGACACCAGTGATGTGATATACACGTTTCAATAAACTGTCCCAGTGGCCAGCTTTTCTTCTGTTTTGTATGGGTTCACTTTGCTAGAGTATATCATCACAATTAGATATGTAAAAATTATTTGTAACAAATATTTGTAAAAAAAAGTAACTCTATTGTTTTTTTTTCTTCCCAAGTTCAATGATGCCTTGTTATATACGACCCCAGTTCAATCAGGGATGTTCAAACTTAACAACATGCTCTCTTTGGCTGGAATGAAGGTAGGAACTTGTCACTCAACAATCACTCCAACATTCTTGGACTACCTGTGTTGATGTAAAATTCTGGGTAAACAGATAAATATATTACCATATATGTGAACTGTTTTAAACTACTATAGTATTTGTAATTTGGTTCAGCCAGTCTTACCTTTTGCAATGCTGAATAGTCAGTAGGGATGAAACACCATATTCTACTGCAGTTTTTAAGCTTCATACTTGCTAAAAGGAATATGGATAAGCATCATCGCAATGGTAAGTGCTTTCCTGCTCCTGTAAACTGTCTTGCATCCCATCTCCAGTGCCTGAAACAATATACTAAGAGCACTGTACATTGTGGTAGAACTCTGGTTCATAGCACCTCATAGTCTGATTTCTGCGGTGCAGGAGATTTTGGGAATGTCATATAACCCCTTCACGACCCACAATGGGATAATCCAGTCATGGGTCCTTAAAGGAGAACTATGAGGTGAGTGCTTTTCACTCACCTCATAGTTCTAGCCGACCTGTGACAATGAGACTGTCACAGGTCGGCTCAGTAGATCGGGAGGTGAGCGAACACATACCGGGTTTGCTTGCCTCTCGATCCTGTCACGGCTCTCTGCCGTGACAGGGGGAGGGGCTGGATTCCCCGCTCCGATCTGCCAGCACTGACTGGCGGAACGGACGGGGGAGGGGGCGGGTACAGCTGGCTCTGCCTCTAGATAGGCAGAGCCAGTTGTCACTCACGCAGCTGGGTGGATCCCATCATCTAAATCGGGATCCGCTCTGGCGTCTCAGTATACCGCAAGCTGTGGCTTGCGGTATACTGAGCTTAGGGTGACGGGAGGATGCTAGTTTGTGTCCTCCCGTTACCCTAAGGAGAACTATGGGGAAAAACACTGACCCCATAGTTCTCCTTTTAAGACTCCTGGCGCCTTTACAGTAGAAGCGATTCTGGCGGCTCAGCTGCTGCCAGATCGCTTCTAAGATCCGGTAAAGTGCCCCCTTATGTGATGGCAATTAAAGTAAAGTTTTTTTTTTTTTTAAAAAGGCTGTTTTAAAAATATTTCATAAAATTAAATAAAAAAAAACAATTAAAAAAACCCCCAGAGCATGCGTGTCTTCACGTAAACACGCTACATATGAAAACAAGACTGTGCTAAACATGTTGTGTATCACCGCAGAAACCAGAGCGAGAGCAATAATTCTAGGGTCAATATTTACAAATATATCTCTAAAGTGAGGACCTGTAGGGGGTTTTAAATGGTCTTAGCTTTCAGAAAATATATAATGTTTGGGGGTTTTAAGTCATTTTCAGGCTTACAATGTGGATTATAACATGTAAACAAAAAATGCAAAAAAAAAAAAAAAGGCCTTGGTCCTTAAGGGGATAAAGAAGGATTTTAGGCAGATATACTTGACATATTTTCAAAAATACTTTAAATGGTTTAATCTTTTTAAGGAATTAAAAATGAATTATTACATGACTGGACTAAAATCTGTATTTGCATTCTTTTTGAAGTGTTCTTTTCATATTGAAAACATTTATTTCAAAATGTCATTGTACTTTGTATTTCTAGGTGAGAAAACCAACCCAAGAGGCCTATCAGAATGAGCTAAATATAGAAAGTGTGGAGAGATCCTTCATTCTGTCAGCCAGGTATTGCACCATTGCATCAGTTCCAGGACATTTTAGTGCAAATGTGGAATTCTGTTTCTGTACCTAAACATTGTCAAATCAGTAAGGATTTCTGACATATTGCTAATTGATTCTGAGGTCCTAATGGCATTCCTTGGGTGAAAATAAAATCTAATCTAAATGTGTCAGGAGCCAGCCAAATTTCACTCTGTGAATATGGTGCAGCGCCAGATAATGTGTTCTAATTGTTTGTTTATAGTTAACAACCCCTTTAGCATACAATAATCATTGTCAGGGCTTTAGGTTTGTTCTCATTTAAAAACTAAATGCATTGTCTGTAGATACTATGTAGTGAGGAATCCGAGCTCTCCGCTTTTCAGGTCCACAGTTTGTGCTTTTTGCCCCCATTGAGATATGGCAAGCAATATTCTTGTTGAGCAAAAGTTAGCATGATGTGTCAGTCATTGTACTTCACAATTGGGTAACCTCACTTGTCCAAACACCGAGGTAGAACCCTTTTGATGAATTGTAGTCCAAACTGAAGCTGGCTTTGCGCTCCATAAAGTATGGACAAAGATCATCATCGTGAAACACCAGTTGTGTATATGGAAGAATTAAGAACATGTCCATCTTCTTTAATCTGTGCTAATTTAAATCTAGGGGATGTCATTGCTGACATTTTTCTGTAAATGATAGTTGCCTAGCCACCATAATGATGATATGGTTTCAATGGACTGACCTGGAAGAATGTAGCAAGTGAAGCAAGAACACCTGATCTGCATGCTTCTTCCATGTCAGTGAATCGGAAAAGGTTGAAGTCGGAGAGCCTGTATGGCTGCAAGGCAAAGTTTACCAATAATGGATTTCTGTTTTCATCTCTGTAAAGGTTTTCTTTTAACACAAAACTTTACATAATTTACATGATAATTCTGATAAGCCATTCTTGTGATTCACATGCTGTGATGCAGTGCATAGCCAGCATTACGCCACTATTTCCTGGTTCAGCTTTACTGCTTTCTGGGTCACAGTTCTGGCCACTAAACTTAAAGCAGTCAAAAAGCATTGTCATTAAGGTGAAATGGAACTCAAAAAGTGAGGATTTGCCATGTTGGGGAAATCTGGAAGTGTTAATTTTGCCCTAAGCAGTACCCAGAAAAATTCTACTTCTAAACAATGCACTTCCTGATATGTGTGAGGGTGCCTAGGCACTCCTACGGTGTCATAGCTCTATACCTGCACTGTGCAATCTAAGGCAATTTCACTATTGTGCTGCTAACTTTTCTGACATAAGGAAACGTAGGTCCTGCCTCTACTAAGATGGTGCCTGAGACACAGTACAAAACAAGGCACATCAGTAATGGGCAAAGATCCGCTTCAGTTAGACCACAGGTGATATTGATGACTTGTCCTTTGTCCTTCGCTGCCACAATTTAGTTCCTCTTTAAGACTTTATTTTGTAATAATCAGTGACAGTTAACTTTTCGGACTTTTACATCTCTTATTTTTGTATCATAATTCAGCTATGACTTTTGATGCTTACATGATTAGGCATTTCCTTTTTTTATAGAATGTAGGTATCCAGAGTAAGAGATCTTTTTCTGCAGAAATGTTTTATAGTCAGATCATCGTAGATGGAAAGTACGCGTAAAGCATTTCTTTCCATTACAGTTCTGCTTCTGAAAGGGATGATTGGCTTGAAGCAATTTCTACAGCAATTGAAGAATATGCCAAAAAGAAAACAACCTTCAACCCAACAAAGAGTCAAGAAGAGGTATGTTCTGAATGGTTACTTTGATATCTGAAGGTTTTAGTGACCATTTTGCTGTGAGTTAAAGTAAAGGATAAGGAAAGAAGGGCAGTTATTAGATTGATTCATTATGAGAGCAGTTATTGGTGGTGGTGGGGTTGCAGAAGTAGTTGATTATATTATGACTAGGTAATTTGAATAGCAGCATTAAAGACATCTGTCTCTATACTGATAATTATAAAGCACATTCTCTAAATTAGCAAGGTTGGCATATGGTCCATAGTAGTGCTACTGTTGATGGTATGTCTAGCCTACATCATTGTACGTGCAATACTGTATGTAGGCAGAGGTCTGTGTATGTGTGGTTGTGTACATTTCTTTTAAATTAATTCACCATATACACTGCCAAAACTTAAATGTCTGCAAACACGAACATTCTTAGTAGTAAGGGGCCATAGAAATATATTCTTTTTTATTTCATAAAATGCCTACAGAATAGCACAAACATCAAAATTATTATTAAGTAACATGTTTTTCAGACTGACCCTGAAGAGGAAGGTGATAATACGCTTGGCTCAAAAGCACCAATTTGGATTCCTGATGGCAGAGCTACCATGTGCATGATTTGTACTAGTGAATTTACACTGACCTACAGAAGACATCATTGTAGAGCATGCGGCAAGGTTTGTCATATCGGATTTTAACTGTTGCTTTCAAGAGATATTTAGAGAGATTGTAAAAAAGACTTAATGCAATGCAGAACAATTAAACATTTGTGTTCAGTTTAAATAGTTACAACTGACTATACAATTGATTGTGAAACAAATTCATAAGAATGTGTGCCATAGTTGGGGACAGGGGGACGGACACTCCACTTTGACCTTTTATTTTACAGCTGGAGAGTACTGCTAGAGGCAGCATAGGATAGAAAGGATCTACCCAAGAAATCCCTTTTATGGCACAAGTCATGCTTTTTTAAAACACCTAAGCTAGCTTTTGAGTTGGTTTGCCCTCTGTTGTAAACATATGAATTGAATAACTGCAGCAGATTCCATAATGTTGTAAAGTATGAATTTTGCCTAGTCAGTACTAATTCATCCAAAGCATGCCCCAATAAAGAATGTTTGATGGATTCACAGAGTACTTTTGTTGTATTTCTCTAAAGATACTTATTTTCTTTACTTGTTTCCAGATTGTATGTCAAGCATGTTCAACAAACAAGTACAGCTTGGAGTATCTCAAGTACCATTTAGCCAGAGTATGTGATCTGTGTTTTCAGCAACTCCAGAAACAAGGTATTTAATTGTCTATCTCACTATGGTATAGCTGTTCATCTTGCTTGTAAAATCATTTTAATATGTAAAGCTGGTCATACACCTTTTAGATTATCTGCAGATTTTCTATGGTCAGGTGGAAAAATTGCAACAGATTCTTCCATCTATGCTAAACTGTGTGGATGGAGGAATCTTCCACTGGGCTAAGCTTCAGTATCTTGCTAGTCGGCCCCGCTGGCTCTCAAAATACCTGAGCAATGGCTGCATCCAATCAGATTGTTCAGGTATTTTGACAGCCAGCGGGGCCGACTAGCAAGATACTAATATCATATCCTTCCACATGTACTAATAATCGTAGAAGGAGGTATAAGCCATTCAATAGAGTTAGATTTTAATATTCTTGCAATGAAATAAATGTAATATTGTCCTGTGTACTGCAGTTCATTTAATATCTCTTCCAACATGATTACCGTTTTCTAAACAGATAGTCCAAGCATAGCTAAATCATGTTCTCCTGCAAACCATAAGTCCCCCTCCAGTGCCCTTTCTTCAGTGCTGCATAGCATCCCATCTGGAAGAAAACAGAAGAAAATCCCAGCAGCTCTTAAAGTAAGTTTGAGTTTGGTCTCGGCCCTGTATGTTAGCAGAACTGTCAATCATTTTAGTGTGCATTATAATGCAAGATTATGTTATGAATTGGAACAAGTATATTGTTTAGAAATCCAAACATTTTTTTTTTTTTATTCTTTATTTTCAGTTGTACAAACAGTGGGTAATTAGAAAAAGAAGGGTTGTGCAGTATATTAAAATACATTGGGTACATAAACATGAGAAGTGTATATAAGACATTACAATTCCACAGGTCTGGTAGGCCCAATGTGGGCAAGTTAGACCGGCATTTCAGTGTGTTTGTAAGCACCACCACCCATGGGTGAAGTGCAACCACCATGCCTTGGCATGCGCCAGGCTTTCCAAGTCTCGCTTAGAAAGGCAATGCAGTCAAATACCTGCCATGTTGAGGACGTAATACGGATGGCACAAAATATAGGGTCAGGAGGAGAGGACAGAGAAGGGTTAGGGACTAAGACTTGGGGAGGATATGGAGGATAGGTATCAGGGTGGTAGTCGGTAGAAGCGTAAGGTGGGTGAGCATTCAACCGAGTCCCTGCAGGAGGGGGGCGCAGTATTGGCCCCCTGAGGCAGGAGTGTCGTGCTCTATCTGAGACCTCTGGATTGCGTTTCACCGCAAGTGTGGCTCAAGGTCTCTTTCTACCATGAGAGCGCCATACTCCGGGGAGTAGAGTTATTCCAGCCAGTAGAACCACGTTTTCCGGAATTTGGCATCAGTATGGTGCAGAGTCACAGTGAGCTTCTCCATCACCCGTGTTTCGTCCAGAAATCCAAACATTTTTGAAAATTATATCCTCTTGTAACTAAAATAATGTAATTGATTTGAATTCGGTTCAAATTTAAGCACTTTTATCTTGCTTATGTTCATGCTTAAATATTTGTAATGGTAATAAAGGATAGCTATTTAACACCTTCCCGTGTCAGACAGGCTTACGAACCTGCCGCGCATAAGCATCCTTTCACTGGAATACATGTAGTCTCATATATGGACTATTCTAACTTTGCTGTATCTGTTTTCAGTTATGCGCCAGTACAGAAGACTCCTCAATGAGTGGTTACTTACAGAGATCAAAGGGTAGCAAAAAGCCCTGGAAGCAGATGTGGTTTGTGATAAAGAACAAAGTCTTATACACATATGCTGCTAGCGAGGTAAGCAACTATTCTGTAGCGATATACATATAGAAGCAACCGTAAACGCAGCAGGAGCTTTTAATCTTTTGCTACTAGGAAAAGCCACAGACGGCCAGATCCACCTTGAGAAGGGGAGACATCTGCTTGTCATTTGTAGTGCTGGGACTCCTCTAGAGATACGTGTTCAATTAACTAAAGCAGCACACATGCTGGCACCTCCTTTCCCCTACTCACTGAAAAAAGGAAAGGTTTGGCCAAGTCGCACAAAGAGTTTCCAACATGTTGGGAAATCGCAACAGGACACACAAAGCAAACATTAGAAATACTTTTAAGTGTACCCCTGAATAGCCTGAGTATCGCATTAGACTGTTACTTTTCACCCTAAGACAGGGGTAGGCAAACTTTGGTCCTCCTTTAGTTGTGGAACTACAAGTCTTTAAGAGATTTGACCACACAATAGCAATCATCTCAATTGCAGCACATTGAATATGGTCAGACTGGTGTCATTCTAAACTTTCTTCAACTTTGGATGAATATTTTTTAATATGAGATAAATGGCAGGAATTATTTATTCACACTGTAGAGGAATAACTATATACTGCTGGTATTACGGTGTTCCTATAGTTTATTGTAATATTAGAAAAAGTGGGTAATATCTGTAATACATGTATATTATTATGCATGTGTAAATTTAATATATTTAATCTTTAATAAAAAACTAATTTACAAATAAATGAATGGAAAAAAGAGGTGACTACAGTTAAAATATAGGAGTGGGTTAGCCCTGAGCAATCTGAGTAAACGGCAAGAGCCAAATAAAATATTACCAACCAGGACCTGAAGATTGCTTGACTTGCTAAGACTAATAAATACAAATGTTCTGTATCTTTGCACTTTTTTTTCCTGTTATATAAAGTCTTTACAAGGATAATATAGGACTTTTTTATAACTGTGCTTTTAGACACTGCATAAAGCTGGGACTGAAAGTGTGTTTTGGTATATCATTCTAGGATATCGCAGCCTTGGAAAGCCAGCCTCTACTAGGATTTACAGTCAGTGTAGTACAGGAAGAGAGCACCGAACTGAAAGTCATTCACCTGCTGCACAAAAACACTTTATTTTACACCTTCAGAGCTGATGATGCTCATACAACGGAAAGGTATGTACTGCTCTCCCAAAAACAAGTTTTTCAAAACGTTACTTGCTGTAACCCACTTACCTTCTGCACTCCCCTCCTGCGCATACTGCCTGCTGCCATACCAATTACATTATGTTCCAGCATATACTGTCCCCTAAGACTCTTGTTTAGCATTGTGTGTTATACCCCCAACCATTCCCATTCTGGAATGGGCCAATCTACTATAACCCACTGTCCTAAACTGCCCTGAGTATATCAGTTTTTTAAATATACCCATATATTCTTTAGTGTTGTATAGCGTTCATTTGCAAAACAATGAAGTGCTTCTCTGATTCTTCTTTTTCAATGGCTATACAAGGAGGGGTGCTCTGCTACGATGGTAGATATATATTTTTAAAAAGGGAAATATACAGGTAAAAGGTAAGTGCACATTCAGACCAAGTACACTTACTAGACAAACCTTAACTAACCAAACCAGCATCCTGCCCCACAGTCCCAGGACAAGGTCCTCTGGTACCCAAGGCGAGGATGGCCAGCTGGAAGCACTTTTGTAGGTCCGTATGCCATACGTCCTTGGCAGCGAAAGGGTTAAAAAGAAAGCTTTTGCTACCATACAGTATGCAGTGCCTTGTGAAATTATCTCCCCCCCACGGTTTTAATGCATTACAACCTGGAATTAAAATATATGTTTCTAGGGAGCTTTCCTAGTAAACTGCACAATGTAAACCATACTCTTTCTACTGCATGGTAATGGCTACATTTACTGTATACGGTGAAAGCAGTCAGATTTTACTTAAAACGTTGATTTTGGCTTCATACACGACTGGTTGATGGGAAGTAGACACAAGCAGAAAGAATGTGAGCTTTGGGGTTGCACAACCAGGCAGTATGACAGTGGGTGTGACCACATAACTGGTCACTGCTATGGTACACAAAACTTAAAAAAAATAGACAAGGAATTACAATTATAAAGTCCTAAATATATGCAATGTAATACTTGATATTGGTAAGTACAAATGGACCCAACTTATTAGTTGATTTGATTAATTTACTTTCAAACTGTTAAATTAATTCCGATCTGATAAAGTTGGTGAGATGTTGCAGTGATGGATCCGGAATTTACTCCATGGTACTATGTGTCTTTGTATTTATTTATTTTTAACCAGATTTTCTTTGATTTTTTTCAATATAAAAGAAAAAGAAAAGAAAACAAAGATATATTATCAGCAGGTTACATAAAAAGTGCATATCCCAATATAGTAAACACCATATATGTAAGGTGTGTCAAGTTAGAAGTGCTGTCATCTCTCTAAACGATCAATTTCATAGCGAGGACAGGCAATGTAAAATTACGGGATCGGTTAGAGGCTAAGTCTAGGCCGAATATCCGCGAGGGGTGAAGTAAACTAATCCTGAGGTAATCGCAGACTCCCCAGTGCATTCGACACGTGTCTTTGCATTTTAAAGAAGCTAAAAGACCTGTAACAGCCACATCTACTGTAATTGTTTGTACTGCTATATGTATTGGCTTCATGTCTAGTTGGAATGACAGCTTTGTTTTCTGTTTCTTTTCTGCAAGGTGGATTGAAGCATTTCAAGAAGGAACAGTATTGTAACAACACCTAGAGACTTGCGAGTAATTTGGACACTACATACTGCCATAGCATTTTGATATATAACTTCATATTTTTGGATATTCATGTCTTTTAGATCTTTTATACATTTGTAAATTAGTTTTGTTGCAACTTCTGTACAGATTATTTATTAAAATACAGATTTCAACCCGGATGAATGTGTATTCCATACTTTGTTTATTATGTATGTAATGTTTCATGATGGTTAAACCCACTTTTGCATTTTGACATTGGCAGAGCAGTGGCACTTAATTATGGACCATTCTGAACGGACAAATCTCTTGCAGTTCCTAGTAGTGTTAGTTTGCCTGCTCCCCCTCACCTACATTTCTGCTGCCTCATGCTAATGTACTATCTCACTAGTCAATAGGAATGTGTGGGGCCAGAAGTGCCAAAGCTTTGCTCAATGAGCACTGCGCCTGGCATTTGGGCAGAATAGAAGCACTAAAAGCTGGTACAGATAAGCACATGCTCTTCTAGCTTCCTGCACCTTATTCCTGGTTTCTACTTTAAGAAGAACTCTGGGCAAAACTGTGATGAACCCTAGCAGTGGGGCTTCCCACATACTGCAAGGGTTAACTGCTTGTTTTCATCTAGGTGCTAAAACAAAAAGTAATACTCACCTGAATTTCGGAGCCAGCTGGCTGTCACAGCACTCCCTCCAGCCTGTCTCCTCCTACTCTGCAACGATGGTAGGTCCCTCTACGTCCTTTGGCCCAATACACCGTGTATTGGACGTGATGATTTAAGGCTCCTTAGACCGCTGCAGCAGAGAGGGAGTGAGGCTGGAAGGATCGGGCTAAGAGCAAGGGAAGCTGAGCTGAGATAGTTGGAGTCAGCTGTTTGGAAACATGACTGAGAAAAAAATGTACAGAAGTACTTTGCTGGACAATGTATATTTGTTTGATCTAGATTCATTATTGAAAACAAGAATGAGAGTTGTATTGGAACACTCTTGTGTGGAAGCAGCGCCATCTCTGCTGGTGTCACACGTCCCTGCTGAGTCAGAGGAAGAGCTCCCCAATCAGCAGGTGGAATGGGCTTTGCTGACTGCAGAGCATGTACAGTGAGGAAAATAATGATTTGATCCCCTGCAGATTTTGTACGTTTGCCCACTTACAAAGAAATGAAAGGTCTATAATTTTTTATCATAGGTGTATTTTAAATGATAGAGACAGAATATCAACCAAAAATCCAGAAAATACACATGATACAAATGTTATAAATTGAGCTGCAGTTCAGTGAGTAAAATAAGTATTTGATCCCCTACCAACCAACAATAATTCTGGCTCCCACAGACTGGCTATGTGGTACACAGATTGGTCATGGGCGGGTACAGCTGGCTCTGCCTCTAGATAGGCAGAGCCAGCTGTCACTCACGCAGCTGGGCGGATCCCGTCATCTAAGTCGTGATCCGCTGCGGCGTCTCAGTATACCGCGAGCTGTAGCTCGCGGTATACTGAGCTTAGGGTAACGGGAGGACGCTAGTTTGTGTCCTCCCGTTACCCTAAGGAGAACTATGGGGAAAAACACTGACCCCATAGTTCTCCTTTAACAGATTCCTGCTTTTTTTTCCACTTGGTGAAACGTGCTAATTCAGCATTAAGCGTACATTAGTGTCTCATGTGCTGATAGTAAAAAGCTAGCTTCTTCATGCACTGGCAGTACTCCTGTTGATTTAAAAGAGCAATGCTGGACTTAAAGTTGTATGTATAGCCAAATCATAGTTTTTTTACAGAGTAGGAAAGGGTTAGCTAGTAAGGGGTATTACTCTGTTAGACAGGTGTCCCCTTTGGAAAACCTGCAGGCTGATTACAAGTGATCTCGGCAGCATCGCTGGGATCACTTGTACTAAAACACCGGGACATTTGGGCAAGCATGGCTAAATGTAGAAAAAAAAACTACCCGCCCTGCGGCTGTGCCGCCCCTCTACTCCCTGGGGCCAGGTCTCTTTGGCCTTGCGGGAAGGCCGGCCCTGCACTTGAGCAATTTATGCGTTTTTGTTTTAGCCAATGGAAAGCTAGTTCATAGGAGGCAGTTTTTAGGTGCAAAATTGAGTGGAAAAAAAATGCATTCACACTTTTTTCCGGTCCTCAGATTAAAGTCTATGGGGCCAAAAATAAGTAATTCTGTTTAAAAAGAAGCTTGTGTACTTTTCCAAGCTACAGGTGACAACACTCGGGTGTGACGTGGCACCTTTGAAAATAATGGGATTCAATGGTTTCGTAAATTGGACTCCACCAGACTATTGGAAGAACTCATGCACAATGCAAATGACTCCTATTGTACTTTCTATAGAAGATGGGCTTGTTGGTTAGCTTTTAAGGAATCGGCTTCCTATTGTACCTATATGTCTGACACTGGTAATCGACCCCATGAGATAACCCTTCCCTACGCCTCTCACTTTGGATCCCCTTCCACCAAGGTCTAGGATGTCATGCGTTGGGAATATGCTTTATGGTTTCCCTACTTTGATGAGTTGCCTTGCACACGTTTAGAACTGTGGCTTTCCATTGGTCATGTAACAAGCCTGTGTCTATAGACCCAGAGCAAGGAATTGTCTGTCTTCCCCTTAGTCTTGTATATGTACTGTCTCCCTTGCCCCTTCTGTTCTTCTCCATTGAGTGTCTTCTCGTTCTTTTGGTTCTCTTTTTTGTTCTTTGTAATTCCCTGCATTTAGATCGCTGATAATGACTTCCTGTCTTTGTTACATGGTGGCTATACAACTGCTGTGCGTGTATTCTACTTTGAAACCCAATAAAACTGAAATAAAGAAAGAAAATAATGGGATTCTTCATGTTGAATATTGCCAAGTTTCTGCAAACACATGACAAAACACTCAAGTGTGTATTGGGTCTAAGGTGAGCTGAAAATGGAGTAGTACTACAGAGGTTTTATCTGGCAAGATTACATAAACAAGACAAGTACTGCATAAACAAAACACGACTGGCATTTTATAATACATGGCTTTTAATGAGCCTACTCCTTGGTGTGCCATTTAAAACCACAGAAGAAATCTTACTGGTAAATGTAGAAAAATCCAACTTCCAATATCAGGCATGTGTGTGTATGCAGTTACCTGTTGACTGGACCAACATACCCTGATGGAAACAAGAATACTCTGAATTTACCACATCTCATTATATGCAATATGTTGCTTAACCTTCTTTAATCACCATATAAAAGAGATTACAAAATGTTACAAAAGTATCACTGTTTGTTTTCTGCTAAAACCAGTAGTATAGATCAAAATTGTATTATTCCTATGCTTCTCACCTCCACCTAGTGGCTATAATGCGGTATTTCCCTAACATCACTTTCAACCTAGAAAGAAATTATACTAATGACCGTTTTTGTTCCATTCACAAAGGATGAATGTGCATGCAGTTTAGCAGGAACAAATGGCTTTGCAGATTTTTTTAAAAATACACCCCTATGTGAAGTTGCCCAAAGACGTATATAATTTACAAATAGGAATGCCTATTCCCACTATAGTCATGCAACTTCTTGACCAACATTAACTTTCACCAACTCAAGCATCTGTTTACCTTGACAGGATCTTTATGGGGCAAAAAAAAGGGAGCTAATCACTCACTGGTACTTGTACACATCCAACCAATATGCACAATCCGCTCCGTTGTACTGCCTGTATTGTCACAATGAGTACAAATCTAGAAACTGTCATCAACCAGCTTTTGAAAATGCTAGTTGCCTGGATGTCATGCTCATCACCTGGCTAGTTACCATTCTGTCAAGACACATTTCCTTTAAACTTTTAGTAGGTATGAAAAAATCCACAAAGTGCACTTTAAATTCAAGCTTTTAATTGAAGATTTAGGGTGCATTCACATGGCTGCAGAGGGCCGTACACTATCAAAAAGAAATGTATACCTTTGCCTGGGAGTCACAGGTCTGTGCATGCAGCTGCTGCCATTAGCCTGTACAAATCGATAGACACCTTGGCTGTATGCACAACTGAGGGGTTGCGTCCAGGGACACTCATCAGTCTCTACAGATGCAACCGCTTGGACTTGCGTACTACTGTGGCAGCTGGGGTCCTGTCAGCCTGTCATTGATTTGTACAGGCTGCAGGTGTATGCAAACACTTGTGACACCATAAGGCCCTTTTCACACGAGCGTTCAGGTTGTCGTTTCCAACCCTCCGTTTCCAGATGAAAAACGGACAACAATGTCTATGCACATGACCGTCAGTTGGGGTCTGCAATTTGACACTGATCAGCTCTCTGTTTTGACTGACCGGCACTGATGTAACCTGATGTACAGTATAGGTTATGTCCGGTTTTTGGGACCGATGTCGTAATACAGCATGAAAAGCTCAATTCATGTTGGCACAAAGCAAAGAATCGTACTATAATAACAAAAAGTCCAGAACGGACATGTAAAAAACAGAAGTGAACTGACAATGAATGTGCAAACTGATGCAAAACTGATTGTTTTCATCATTTTTTTTTGTATCCATGAACCTTGACTGAACTCATAGTGAAATAAGAGAGTCCCACCGCACTCCTGACCAAGAAGCCCCATATATGGGTGGATAATGAAGTGGCCACGGCTGGCGCCACCAAATACTTGCAAAACAAAATAAATGGTCACCAGCACACAAGTTTTCTTCAAAACAAAATCCTTTTATTCGTTCTAGCAGGTCATATCACCATGCATAGCACATTTTCTGAGCCTGTCCGGTCCCTTCATGAGGCAAATGAAAGTGTTGCTGTTTGCCTGATGAAGGGGCTGGAGACAGTGGCAGAACTACCAGGGTTGCAACGGTCGCCGACGCCCTGGCGTTCTGCCACTTGGGGGGGGCCCAAGAAGGAAGGACGGGCCCTGACCGCGGCAGTGGAGTAACAAGTGGGGGGCCCGATGGAGCGGCAAAGGCAGACAAGACGAGCGGGAGTTGGTTGCGCCGGTCGCCAGCAATGAATCGGGCGGGCCGGCGGTGAACACGGCCGCGGGGAGCCAGCAGCAGCCGTCCTGATATTACAGAGGGGGCGTGTGCCTCACGGTAGTTTGTGGTTTTTTTTATACAGCCTGCTTGAGTTTTCTTCAGCTGAGAGGACTGTGACGTGTGAGGTAAGTGCTTTAGTGCTTTCCATTATAGAACATGGAACAGAACATGGCCCAATTTGGAACTGACCATATTCTATAATGTCATTGTATTACTAGAAAACTACAAGTCAGCAGATTAGCTGGGACTTGTAGTTTCCTGTATGATAGAAGGCTGTTTTAATTACTGTCCTCATGAAAGTACTAGTAACTTGAAAATTATAACTTAAAAATTACTGTACTATAATGCCATTGTATTACTAGTATTTTCATGAGGAATTAATTAAAACAGCCTCTAGTCATACAGGGGACTACAAGTCCCAGCATGCACTCATTGTCCCTGTACACCTCTCACATATCACCCAGTGAACTACTGCAGGGGGCTTGCATGCTGTAACTTGTAGTTCCCTGGGTGATTTATATGTGGGGGTGTACAAGGACAATGAGGGCACAATGGGACTTGTAGTTCCCTGGTTGATGTGGAGGGGTGTATAGGGACAATGAAGGCATGTTGGTTGTGGTTGCACTATAACTCCCAGCATGCCTTCATTGTTATACCCCCAGGGGCCTGGAAAGGAACAAGAGGGCCCAGCCCAGTAACCGCCAAGGCCCCCGACATTGCCTCCTGGGACTACAGCTCCCAGCAGGCGAGTGCTCTGCAGCGCGCGGGGCTTCATGGCTTCTTGCACCGGGGCCCTGAGGTTCCTAGTTACGCCTCTGGCTGGAGATGAAGAAAACTTAAGAGTGCAGGTGACAATTTATTTTGTTTTGACCGAACTGATGACGCTTGTGTGAAAGGGGCCTAATTGGAATAAGACTGGAAGCATCGGCAATGGAGGAGAGTGCCGACATCGATTTCAAGGCAAGTCTCCCATAAAGTGCCAATATGTTGTGCATACGAACACATTATCGCAAAAAGCTCAATTCTGTTTTGGCGGTTAAAATATATGCTCAAGGAAAAAGTAAAGGCAAGTTTAAAAATAAAAATAATACCCATCAGCAGCACAGCAATTTGCTAGGGGGAGGCTTACATCCACTTTAAAATGCTTTCTCCCATATAAATAAATAAAAAAAGTTCACGCCAATATAATAAGAATCTATGGAAAAGTTTGACGTTGTAATGCACTTTGCACTGCATGCGAGGACGTACTGATGTACATTACCATTAATTGCAGGAGAGCCATATGTGCGATAAAACACCTTAGTGTAACCGACGCCATTGAAGGTCCCTTTACACATTCCCCTGCACTTGTTGTGAAGGACTGTTAATATATCGCTGTGATTTATACAAGGAGGCAATATTGCGACTCTTTAATCATAGTACGTAAGGAAGCGAGGTTTCTACACAGCTCAGCGCTCAGGGTTCCATAACTCCACACCGCACACACTTTGCATCCATGCTCTCTCCCCAATCCCTCATTGCGTCATCCCGCACGGGGCGCCCGCTGACGTCATTACGGCGCCAGCTACGCACGGTCACGGGGAGGAGCTGCGCATACGGCGGAGCTGAGGGAGGGTCACGAACTCTGACCCGCCGGGAACCGGGTGCGGTACTTTCCCGAGAACGCATCATCTGGCAAGCGGAAGGCCTACCGCAGAGGCCAGGCCCGTTTCCTGGACCGCAGGTAAGGTAGACTAGAGCTCTCCTCCTTTGTAGGACACTACAAAGGAGGAGACTGCGGCTGTGCGTATTCTAGCATGTACCGGAGACCCTTGAGCGATGCGGAACCCCTTCTTTCCCCAGACTCCCTCACTCATCTCGCCGAACATGACTGCGTCCGGAGCGTCGTGCCCGAGTGACGCTTTAACCCTGTCACTGTGACCTCTGACCTCCACCCGACAGGAACAGCTTCCCGGACACGCAGCTTCCTCCCCCCTCGCGTCTATGCACGCTCTGTGTGCCCTCCCTCTGTGCGCGCGCCTTGGGCGGGAGGGGAAGCAAGCATGGCAGTGTGGAGATGTGACAGGCTCGTGTGCCGTACATATTACACATATGAGTCCTGTATGTAAACAGGCCGGCCTCCTCTCTGCTGTAATATGTGATGGAGCCCAGCTGGCCCTGCAGCTCTCACAGTATATGACCCACTTGTGTGCTGTACATTGCATAAACATATGTGTCATGTGTGTGTATATGTATAGCCCGGCCTCCTCTCTGCTGTGGAATGTGATTGAGCTATACTGGGCCTTCAGCCTTTATAGTAGTACCCCTCATCCATGATCTTTTAAGGAACTTCGCAATGTCCACTGCCTTTATTAGGGGATTAGTCTTTGGTTTGATAACACAAGTATTCTATTTAAAGGGGAACTCCAGCCTTTCCTTCAGTCTTGCACTCCTCTCCTTTACTAAAATGGCTTACTTTGATTTCACTGCACACTGTGAGCTTCTCCAAGTGCACATCAGAGGATGCAGCAAGTCAGATACAGCCTGCTTAAAGTGACATTAAACTTTTTTATTTATTTATTTATTTGTAGACATGGCAGCACCCCTGTGTGATTCGGATCTTGTGTTGTGTTTTTAAAATATCTTTCAATTCTACATTCTCTAGTTGTCCCCGCAGCGCTTTCCCCCCGTCCCCTGCACGGGCGCCTCCATCAGCTAACTGCTGCTTTGGAGGCGCCCGTGCGTGCTCGTACCCAGCAATGGCTGTGTGTTTACACAGACTCACACAGCCTGGCGGCCTGCTGTCCCTCCTCTCCGCTCAGTAGATTGAATCTCCTCCCCTGCAACCAAGAAGTTCGGGATGGAGGATCGATTCGGGGATCGGCGCCGGTTACAAGTGGCGCTGGCAGGTAAGTTTGGGGGGACAGAAAGGTACTGGGCATTTTATACTTTTATGCAGAGAATGCATTAAGGTAAAAAAAAATGCCCTGTCTGCCTTTTTAATTTATTTATTTTTTTAAATCGGAGCCCGTGGACGTGCATCAAACTTCCCCCTGTGAACAAAAAAAGTGAACCGTGAAATCACAGCACACAAAAACGTGCACAAGGGTGCAAGGTCCTTCGAAAGAAGGGACCTACTTTCCCGACCCCCCGGGGCGCAAGGCTCCTGACAGGGATTGAGACTGTTGGTCCACCAACCCGAAGGCCGGTGGACCCATTTCCTTCGGGGACCTGCCGGAGCGGGTCCCTCACAGTACTAGGCAGGGGGGATCTCCCGAAGAGAAACCCCCCTCCTGGGTGGGAGGAGACAGAGAACCCCGTAGGAGGCACAGAATCTCCTCCCAGCATCAGGAATAGGTCCCGAAGAAACCTGCACCTTCAGCAATCTGTGGGTCAAATCTTAAAATAAAGGAGTGCTTAAATAAATCTAAAGTGCCAGTGCACCACTCTGACAGGCCTTAGGGGCCGGATTGCAAAAATATTGCCCCAGACTAGCCATAAGGCCTGTCTTGGAGGCGAAGTGCAGAAAATTGCAATGTGGTGTGTGACCAAGTGCACAGTGAGTCATGTTGGGTCCCATACCCAAGTGACTTTCTGCGCACCCCTGGGACCCCACCCCCAGGGGGCACAACACCACGGTCTTCTGCCGCCCCCGAAACCTCAAGCGCGACCAAGCTTCGCATCCGTTCAGTCAGTAGGAAATAGTGCCGAGGAAACCCCCCCTGCTGCTAGGGAGTCGCCTCAAGCACCTACCTTCACTCCTGAGGGTACTAAGCAACCGTCCGTCCCAAGGACAGTCCATGCTTTTCCCCTCTAGAACTGATAAGAACAGATACTACACTTGATCTTAGCCAAAAGGC